AAGAAGAAGAGTAATATCCTGCGTTGTAAAATCCACCTGCGTGAAAAACAACCCAGCCATTGCTGTACCATTTACCACTTGATAAGTGGTGACGTACTCCAACCTCTGTCTTTTCTCCACGGATGACATAGGTGGCTATTCTTTATTTCCACATCCCTCACTACCCTGTTCTTGCACATTTTATCTTCTTTTCTTTGCCCTCTCTCTTTCCCTGTCTCTCGTTTTCTTCATCCCTTTCCTTCTCCCCCTTCCCTCCCCTCCCTCCTCTCTCTCTCTCTCTCTCTCTCTTCTCAGGCCTTCTTGCTCAATTTCTCGCTGTCTACTTCAGTACCGTCTCAGTCTGTTATAATTTCCTTTCGAAAATTTCTAAACGCGTCACTCCCTTCCCCTTAGTCACTGCTGTAATACGACATTGCCTATCAAACCGTCAGATACGTCTCGGTCCTTTGGAGGAAGTTAGTCTTCTTCTGTATTCGTTATAGTTGTTCTATGAAGCACCGTTTCTCATATCTCTATGTTGCAGTTTCTTCCAAGTTACTATTCCGCTTTTCCTCCTACTAGATACTTACCAGTTTCTATCGGGCAGTTTGTATTTGTTTCGGATTTTCCTTCGCTCCGACTTCTGCTTTTATTCATTCAATTATATTCTCTCGATCCTACCAATTTTCTTCAATTTGTTCCAATCTTTTTCTTACTGATGAATCCTTCCTCATGATCTCTGTCGCGAAACTTTATTCTCAATCTCCGTATATTACGAACTCTCTCGCTCGATTATCCTAACCTCTTTCATTATTTGATCATAATCACTAAAGGCCAATGAATCCACACATCGCACAGTTGAAACTGATTAAATTGAACCACGTGTACCGTTATTATCACTATTTAGCGAATATTATTATTGAGAGACGGGCTCTCAGGGGTGACTAAAGACTGACACCGGAAATTATTAAAACGCGAGACATGGACGGAGAGGAAGAAAGAAGGGGATGGTAAATACGATGAGTGGTCCAGTCGCCGGACCGATCCTCGACGCGAGCGCACGGCCATTGTTGCACCAAGAAGCGGCCAAAGCGTACGGAATAAGTGTTCTTAGAATTTCTCGGGGCCGACACCGAGGAAAAATGTAACTGGGACACGCCGAGAGAGACAGAAACAGAGACGAGAGAGAGAGAGAGAGAGAGAGGAAGAGGGAGGTAAAAACACTCGCAACAATATGCTGCGCGCACGTGTTCCCCTTAAATCAAATTAATTAACTCGTCCGAGCCTCTCTTACGAAGCTGACATAAGATGTGTGCTAAGGAAACTTGCTGGACTTGCCGTAATTATCTTTTCTTATCTTAATGACAAGCTCGAGCTTTTATTCGCCATACGCATAAATAGTGGATTTACACATACACGGTGGTTGAATTTTTCAGAGAAAACTTTAATTTTCTAAAGAAAAATTCTCTTTAGAACATCGTAGTAGATTTTTCTCTTTTTTCCTTATTTCTCTCTTCTTCTTTTTTGATATTTTTCAGTTTTACTCTCATTGTATAACATTTATTAATTAAATTTTGATTCAAAGTATATCGTTGCGATACATCACATGCGATACATCGCAACAAGAATTCTCGTTCCACGGATAATTCCGATCTCGTTGGGATTCCATTTTCTCTTCCTTACTCTTCGAGTAACATCCACGTCGTATATGCGAAGGAAATGTAATCGCGAATAGGTGACATTTCTCGGTAAATTATTCCAGCTCGTTCTCTACGCGTTCGCTACGCCTTTACTTATCGTACTGGTATACTTATTTATCTGGTGTACAATTTATCATCGACCGGCACACGTTTATCCGCGGTCGCGTCTTATCAAATCGAAACGGTCTAATGAAATTGGGCGAGCAGGCGTCACGACGCCCTTAATTTCCGGCCGGGACGGCGCGAAACGGCAAAACGAGCGGAAACAGCACGCTGTATTTATGTCGAAACTTAAACGCTCGGCTTAAGTGCTTGCGAAGATACAGGGCCAAAGTGTTTCTCACGGTTCGCGAGCCCAACACCGTTGCGTCTCATCCGATCGGAATAGTTCGTTGATGTGGGATAGAGGGTGGAGGATTTCCCGCGCGTCGGGAATTTCCGGAATGACGTAGAAATTATTAACAAGCAAGCAACAAATGGCGTACGCGAGCCGCTAAAACGTAATGTCCGTCAGCCCGCTCGCCCGGTCACGCCGATATTTTACCCAATTTATCGGAATTTACTGATACAGCTAATATGTCCATGCGTTACGTAAATCAAAGAACGCGACAGGTAGCAGAAATGCATGCAGGTACGTGTTTCGCAGCGTGCAATTTCCGATGATGAATAGCACACAATGAACAGAAAGATATGCCGCTCGCTGTAATAGCAAGGTATAGTTACGCGGTTAATTTATCGCGTTAAAAATTACACAGTCCCCGAGGATCAAAGCGCTCTACATAAACTCTAGCCTTAAATTCTGCAACACTTCCAAGAAACTCGGGACTCTATAACGTTACAGGACTATACTACGTCCCTGAACTTTCTCAACTTTTAATTGAACAAGAAAGTTTTGCTGTACCTTCCTTTTTTACATTCCCAAAGCATAATTTAAAGCTTTGTGATCCCGTCGAGGGCGTAATGTTGAAACCGACGTTGAATAATTGAGGGAGAATAATCAGGAGCACGAAATTCGCTAGCAGAGAGACAATCGAATGCTTTCCGATGGTCAGGCTCGTGTACAAGGGAGTTTCCGAGGCGCGCTCGCAAAATCCTGGGAATGTTACCTTTTCGATGCGTTGATATGCGGCATTCAAGCTGCATGAAAGCCGCAAGCTGGACGAACTCTACTCAATTCTATCTCTCCTCATCTATTCATGAGACGTTTTCGCCACTTTCTTCCGCCGAACCTCGCGCGCCTTCTCCCTTTTTGCACCTCGCACTTTCTGAATCTCACTCTCTTACTTTCCCTCTCTTATTGCTGCTCGCGCTTGAATTTACGTGTTAATCGTCATCCAATAGCAAGATAAATTAAATATCAATCTATTTTCGTCTACATATGCGCGCGATATAACGCACAAATATCGAGTTTACTTTTTTTTCTTTCACACGAAATATTTACTCGCATCATACATCGCTTCTAGACAAAATTCACCGTTCTCGTTCGCGAGTTGATAAAAAATTAACCTATTTTCGGTTTTGCAAATACAAAAGTTCCGCGCACATTCGAGCTGCATGAAGTGCCGCAGTCATATATTAGTGCGGTTAATTTTGAATTATCGCGTCCGGATGGGGAGAATAGGGAGAAAAAAAGGAATTTCGCACGAATTTTCCAGTGAGAAAAGGCCTCATGGAAATTACTAATATGGCACGTGTGTCCGGTGCAAAATGGCGACAGCGCGTCTACGAAGGAGCTGCTTGCCATTAATTACCCTTGATGCACGCGATATTGACTTCCTCTGCTGCTGCACACTCCGCCTAAATGAATCCGCGGGCGAAGGATATAGCTGCTGCTGCTGCTGGCGCCGCCGCCGCCGCCGCCGCGAGAAAAATGTGCCGTCGTGGAAACTCCCGGCACAGTTTTCCTTTTTATTTGCGCAAGTATAAATCATCTCGGTTCAAAGCGCGCCTCATACCGTGTGCATGAATTTTCCACCGGCGGGGCGATTTCCCTGCCGTTCCCATAAATAGAAATTCGTTAATTTATCTCACTAATGATACACTAATGATACACAATTTATCACGCTAGTAATGGGTAATTAAAATATTCGTCATAATTACAACTCCCGGACCCGCCGTTCTTCGCAAAGCGAAAGCTTTGCTGCCGATCGACTCAAACGATTTCTTCTATTATCTTTGGGCGTTAATTTCTTCAATTAAGGATTTCCTTCTCCCTCTCCCTCTCCCTCTCCCTCTCCCTCTCCCTCCCTCCCTCTCTCTCTCTCTCCCTCTCTCTCTCTCTCTCTCTCTCTCTCTCTCTCTCTCTCTCTCTCTCTCTCTCTCTCTCTCTCTCTCGCTCGCTCCTCTATTTTAATCGTTTTCTATTAATATAAATTAATATAAATTAATATAATTCTATTATATATTAATATAATTCTATTATATATTAATATAATTCTACTATATATTAATATAATTCTATTATATATTAATATAAATTAAAAGCTTGTTTATTAACCACGGGCACCACGACAGTTTCTTTCTCTTTCACATTCAAGATGTATGAACAATTAAAACGAGAATTTTGTAAAAAGTTAAAATTTTCGCGAATATTTTTCCGAATTAACATCAAGCAGAAGTGGAAATCCGCAGAGAATTCGCGTATGCGGGAAATGTTTTCGGTGTCAATGAAGAGGAAGTAAAAATTTGCGGTCATTTCAAAGCGAAAACCGCAAAGGTAAAAAAAAAATTAACGAATTATATGCAATCACGCTGAAATAAAAGTTCCGGGTGCCAATAATAATAAAACCAACTATACCGTAGAGTTTCATGCTCGGAACGTTAATACGTTATATTCGCGAATTAAAATTCGCCTTGTTATACAATGGCAATTTTGTTGTTTATTCTATCGTTTTATTATGGTCCTCGTTTAGGAAATGCAACAACGTTGAAAACACCAATCGTGCACGATAGTCCATTCGTACGCGATTTTTAAGAATTTTATTTTGCATGTGGACATCTGGAAACTCGGAGATTCGCCAGAGTTTTGTTTTAATTTTCAACGTACGGAAATCTCTCGTAACTCGGAATCTCCGAATTGTCCGTAATTCTTCAGCCTTTATTCGCAGAGGAAAGTAGACGCCACTTGCCACTCGTAGCGTAATTCGTAGCGTAAACTCTTTTCCCCGGACTTCCTATAACTTCGACGACTCTCTGCTCTGAGATGCAAACTTTGCCGATTGAGCGAAGTCGAAGTTGTCGCTGCAACGTCTTCCGGCAATTCTGCGCTTCACGCTGCAGCCGCACGAAAAAAACGTCTTCATCCGTCTTCCGTCTTTTCAGGCAACCATCGCCGAGTTCGGGCACCACCGGTACCTCTACGGTGTCGTCGACGACCGGCGAGAGCGACGCATCCCAGAGCATCAGCATGTACCCAATGGGCGTCGCAACATCCGTCGCCGCGACGACGGCAACGCCGGTGACCACGACGACTTCAGTAACGACGTCGGTGCCGTTGACTGTTACCTCTGCCACTGGAAGCCACACTGGTATCGCGAGGAGTGTCTCCGCACCGAGTGTGCCGCGTCCGGTTATTCAGATCAGCAGTTCTTCAGTGAGTGCTTCGGCAACGCAACGACCGAGGCTAAGGAGAAACCTCAGCCGCACCGAGGCCATTCGGAAGTAAGTACGCGAGTCGACACTTCCAGCGCACTTTTTGTTGTAACACGATGTCGCTCTGGACAAAGTGTCTCTATCATAGACATATAAAAATAAATAAAAAAAAAAGAAAAAAAATTGAAAACAGAAAGAACGATTTAGTTGAATCTAACAAATGCTTATTTGGAACAGTCCAAATAAATTTTTTGATTGATCGAACAAAGTTTTGTTTGACGCAACAAAAACATTTCGTTGGAACTAAGCTGCAACAAAATATTTTTGTTGCAGCTTAGTTCAACTAAGCATTCATAAACAAAGATTCAACTAAATCGTTCTTTCTGTGTACACATATGTATATCCGCTTTCTGTGAAAATGTTAATATGCAATTAGAATTGAGAAGAATTCCTAGAAAAATAGTGTTGCGTTCGAAAGGAGGCATGCTGTGTAAAGTCCTGTGGCTGTATCTTCCTTACAGTTACATCAGACGAGAGACGGCACAGTTCTTTGGAGTTGACGAGGAATCGGAAGCTCTTGAGAAGCAGAGATGGTTGGACCGACGGCGGCGTATGGCGTCGAGAAAGTACGGCGCGCTTGTACCGGAACACAGGCCGCCGGATCCGGACATCACCAGGGACGTGCCGGACACGACCGAGATACCGGAAGTGAGTGCCATCGTGCATCTCGCGCTATCGCAATCGCATTAACCGTCGTGATGGACGGTAATCGAGAAATTGTCGACAGTAGTATGAACGTACCTTGCGTATTATTATTAACGTTATCGCATCTAAATTTTTATTTTGATCGGGGAAACGTGATATAATATAACGTAACATTCATTGTCGATCAGCTTCTCCGTGTGTTTCCGTGTTTCCGCCTTAGCGAAGAAATGAAGGAAAGTAATTCTTAATATTTCGATATTAACGTCCCGAGCATGAAACTCCACAGCATAGAGTTGGTTTTATTATTATTGGCACCCGGAACTTTTATTTCAGCGTGATTGCATATAATTCATTACTTTTCTTTTTACCTTTGCGGTTTTCGCTTTGAAATGACTGCAAATTTTTACTTCCTCTTCATCACTACCGAAAACATTTCCCGCATACGCGAACTCTCTGCGGACTTCCACTTCTGCTTGATGTTAACTTGGAAAAATATTCGCGAAAATTTTAACTTTTTACAAAATTCTCGTTTTAATTGTTTCTGAAAATGCTTGCAGGGTGTTACGCTCAGACGATGGCAACAACCAGTACGAAGGAAAGATTCTGTCGCGAGGATAACACTGTCGGGTCTCCATTATATCGTCGAGGTGAGTTATTCATGATTTATCTTCTATTCTATCCTCTGATCTTCCTTCTTGTGCCAAGATGATAATTTTCTCTTTACTTTTACAATATATTATACAAGTTTCTCCACTTATATACACGTTTGATAAATCACTTATCGAAAAATAACAACGAACGCGAAAATTGAGACGAGTGGAGCTACCATAAGTTACTTATCCACTCAATTAATTGCTTGTACGATCGATTGATTAATTGAAGTGGCATACTGACTGTACAATCACTCGAATCGCTCGTCCAACTTCTGGGGTATATTTATAAGACTAAAAGAGCTAATTTCCCCCTCTCCCTGCACATAGATTCGATCGGCTGATCCATTTGCACAACTTCATTCCTTCTCGCGTCGAGATAGTCGATGAGACAGAACGGTTCGATAAATATATGTACGCGGTTGAATTTATTAAGATCGCAAGGCGAGTCGCACGATCGTAATTAGGCGGCCGGGTGTAAACCGCCTTCGTTGAATTACGTTACATTAGCCTTAAAGTTTAGATTAGCCAAAGTAGAGTAATTCCAGTCATAAAAGTGGAGCGAGCCGCGCGCCCGTCGCCCCATTACGTAACTTTGGTTTTAGTTTACGCCAGAAGAGCTTATTTCCGGTCGCGCAGATTTTGCGCTCGCCAAGCTAAAACAATGTTACACTTTCGAATTATTCGGGAGTTATGACCCGTGATTATTTCGCTGATATTATCTCGCCACTTATGCAACGATTCGCGAAAATGACGGAGCGTGCATTATGACACACCCATAAATTAAATAAAACCACTCGCAACTTAATCTTTCGCATTCCAAAATCTCGTTCTATGAAGAATTTAACGATGCTTTAATACATAATTGCTGTTTCGATATTCTTATTCTCGCTGAAAAATTTTATTTACATGAATAATTTACATGAATATTTGAATAATAATATTAAAACTGTTCGATGGGACGTTCATTTTGCATCGAAGATATTTTTTTTTTTGACGAGGAAGAAATCCATCATGGATACCCCAGATCCTCGGGGAAGGGCCTGGGGTTATACTGGACTTCTACCGGCTTGAAAACCTCCCCGGGTGGCATGCGAAGGGATCTTATTCGGGGCCCCGGAGCCACGTACCTGCTGTCGAGGTCCCGAGTCCTGACGTTTACCGTCGTCTGTCCCTTAGGAGTGGTGGAGAGGGAGGCCAAGCCGAAGCTCCTCAGCCACCCTCCACCCACCCCTCACGCCCCGTTTGTAGTGCTGGGAAGGGGAAGGCTGACCGAAACCGAATTCGACCGTCGTTCCCAGCCAGACAGGGCGCCGCCCTGGTGTTGTGCGACGAAATGGGCCACCGCCACTTCGTCGCTCCCTCTGTAGGAGGGTTGGATGAAACCCGAGAGTCCCCGCCCGGAATCCCACCCTCCTCCTCGGCGATTACGGGGAGAAAAGTCCTCTAGCCGCCGTGGTTTCTCGCCTGATTAGATGAGGGGGTCACACGACCCCCTCATCAGGCCCACCCCACGGGTGGGCTGTTCAGGCAGGTGATTTTGGTAGTGACAAATGTCACCCCACTCTCCCCCCCCCACTTAATGTCATCCAGTCCCCGTGGTTTGGATCGGTGAGAGGCTGGGGGGCGATTGGTCGGCCCCTCGCCTGTGCGCACCTGGTGTTGCATCGAAGAGCGAGATGTCTTCTCTTTCGATTTGAGATTGCAAATTCCAGCGAGTTCGCTACGAAATCACGTAATTGGACGTTTACGTTTTTTTTCTTTTTATATGCGAGATACGCTTCAATTGGCCATATGAATGCATCGAATGGCGCACACGCCCACACGTGCGCATTGCGTAATGCATTCTACCCCTCTGCTAGAGGCGGTTGGCCATGTTTCAAAACTTAGCTCAAACAAGCTGGACAACGACTGTACCGTCAGAGGAAAGTGTGCTTTTCGTAATACACACAGTGACCCATTAGAATATTTCACACGCGACCTAGAAAGCGTCGCAGCCCGTCCAGATCGATTTCGAAGATTTGAACGGAAAATTCACAACCATTCATGACCACCTTGCCACGCTCTATGGGGATTCCCTCGCTGGTTCCGAGTATCTTTTTCACGAACTTTTCTCGCGAATCATTGACTCACTCGTATGTATATCTGGATGAAGTATATTCTATAAACAGATTACCTCTAATTAACGGGAAAGTTACGACACTTTGGCCCGGGAAGAATTTCAATCTCGTGACTGTCTAGCTATAAAGTAGTAAATTTATGTCTAACATCGTTATTAACCGACAATATAACGTTCATTTCTCCTAGTCAGTTATATAATGAATAAGTTAACCTAACAGCTAAGCAATAGAAATTACAATTCCGAGTAAAAAATTGTAACTATTTGCCAGTCGATAATGTATAACATTCGCTCGAATATTTATACGTCGATGTTGCAAACCTCTTCGATGTCTCGGCATAAAAAAATCACTTGGCCCGGTGATCGTAATTTTCCGAGCGGCTCGAAATCGCGATAATCGAAATGGACAAAATTATTGGTAACTAACGAGCTAACGACGAGAATTATTAACGAGTTTGCTGAATAAGTAATGTCCACTAAACATCTGCGAATAATTGAAAATGAGGCAGTTAATGAGTATCAATTATATTCGAACAGCAATATCGCTTGGGTAATACCCGAAAGAGAGGGAAAAACGACACAGTGTAAAAATTTTCGAGCAAGTCGGATTGCTCATGCCGGATTATTTTTAGCGAGGATCACATGCGCGCTGAAGTCAACAGCGCTATGAAAAGCTGCACATGTTATTTATGAGACATTAGATGGCCAAATGAACAAAAATTATATTTCCTGCGGCAATAATAACACGCGCGTGCATCCTTCTTCAAATACATCAAATTTCTTTCAGAGATGTATTTCATCCTCTTTGTGCGTCCGTGATATATTTATCTCTTCTCTTTAATATTAATTTTTTAAATATTGCCTGAAACTCACTTTAAATTTAAAATTCATTTTAAACGCAGTTATGCGTTTCACTCTATGTAAATAATATTTCTCTCCTCTCTCTCCCCCTTTCTCTTTCTCTCTAACTGCATTGGAAGTCAAATTGAAGTGGCACCATTGTGACACGTGTGTTTAGCGTGTTGTGTTTACAGTATTGACAGTGTGTTTACCTTCTCCTTTACGTGAATCACCATTACATTGTATACTGTGAGACGTATGTTTCATACGAGTGGAATGGTCAAATGAAACGGTCGAATGGACGATCGCGGGATTTTCGCCGATAATTTCGCATTGTCCGACAGTTAGATTTTTCGCAACATCGTGGGATTATTACATCGAGAGCCGGGTACAAAGCGACGAAAATGAGGGCCAAAAAAGCAGGACGAAGGGGCCGAATTAATTTCGCTACCATCAGGGATTCATTCCGCGCGATCGAATCATAATCCCGCATTCTCGTGATTGTGCTCGCACAATAACAAAATTTATTAACGCGGAAACGCGGAATAAATGTCACTGGCTGCTTAAACCCGCTCCGCAGGAGCGACAAAAAAAGAAAGAGGAAGAAAGTCTTTTCTTTTTACAAACGGCGCGGGAGGCGGTAGCGATGTTTACAGATAACTCTGAAACAAAAGCTTCACGAATCTTGCACGCATTTCGTCATTACGTGTTTATTTACTATTACGTTCGGTCGGAAACAGAATATGCGACCGACAAGCTCAGCTATAATATACCGTTTATTAACTTCTACGTCATTATGTTCTCCACCTCTATCCTCCCTTCCCTCATGCAGCATTAAAACTTGCGGATTAATACGCGCAACGTTTCCGCTATCTTCTCGCCGTCCGTTCCATATCTTACTTCTTTCCGGCGACCGGCCGAGTTTCGCGAAAAATTTCCGCTCTATTATCGCACTCGCAAAAGTTTGCTGTGCAAAAAACTGTTATACCACTTCGCAATACATACAACACTGGAACCGCGAGAGAAGGGCCGCATGAATACAGTCCGAAAAAACGCCACAGTTACAGCGGGCGCTTGCTCGTCACTCGCCTGTTTGCTCCATCAACTCCCCCTTCCTCCTCCTCCTAGCCAACCCGTCATTGCATTCTGATTAAAGTAACGCCGATGTTACTTAATAACGAGGTTTACTAGATTTCTGCTAATAAATAGTGCCGCGGTTTCCTTATTACGTCGCGCTGAGCTCGCACGCGCTCAGATGATGTAAATTTTAATAAAAACTCGCGTGCACAACGCGTGTGCACCGTTCCGCGCCGGCCGCCATTAATTACGTCCCTTCAGCGGGACGCATGAAGGGCGAGTAAAGCAAGATACGGAGGTAATCTACTCCCTTCGTTACGCCGCCCTAAGATTTAAAACACTTCGTTACGCGCGACGCGTGTCTCTCTCTCTCTCTCTCTCTCTCTCTCTCTCTTCCTCTCCTTTTCTCTTGTGCTTTTCCCTTTATGCCTCGGACCCGTCCTCTTTCTCCTGTTATCTTTTTTCTAATTTCGCGGAAACGGCGAATCATGCACATTATCGCATTTATACGAGCGATAAATAAAGAAGTTTGTCTTTTTCCTACAGCTAGATGGAAAACAGTGAGATTTATTTTATTCTTGGTCCCTTTTCCGCGAAATATCTGTTCAAACAAAGTATATATTCCTTTGTTTTGCAACTAAGATATCTCATCAATTAATCATTTATCTTGAATTAAGATATCGTTTTAGAACATTTTTGGAACATCTTATATATCGAACATTAATCACGCAATATTAATTAAGCATCGCTAGTTCCGTCATGTGCTTCCGCTTCCGCAGATTTTTTTTCGGACATCTGATACATGCGGACGAGCGTATCGAACGGTGTCTGATAACTGTGTGCGTATTTCCTACATAAACGTATATACGATATTCGTATAAACGTATATTCTATATACGAACGGAGTAGCAGTATCGATGTCCTATTAAATTTCAGCGGCCCCCTGTAGGCTTAGTCGAGTCGTCGAGGCCGATGGATCTGACCGCAACCACTCGGAAGTTGCAACTATGCGTTGCATCCACCGACACAGTCGTTAATGCCAGATTATGCAGATCCGCGTTTAATTATATGCCCGCGAAACGATAGATTTTCCAGTGAATACTCATTACGCGCCTGCCATCACCATTGATCGATATTAATGGCGGGCTAATAATGCAATCCAATGATATCGTCGATACGCATCAATAAGGTATCAAATTATTGCCGGTCGTTACTACGAATAAATCGAATCCCTCATAGATATCTCTCCTCTCTCGCATCTTCTTCTCTTCTTCGCGGTTTTAAAATCGCGTTGTTTCATATTTAGATTACATTTCGTCAAACTCTACGAAATGGGAGATTTTAACAGAACTTATTTTAACGAACTTTCCATCGTTGTGGCGCGCCGCATAGCGGCTGCGATCGGAACTAGCACTGCTAGTCTAGGTGTCTAGGGTCTAGCAGCATGTGTCGTGCAGAACACAACGGAATATCGATATACTTTTGCAATTTTCCTATGTTAAAGAATTTGTATCGGAAATATTAGGATATTTGTAGAACGCACAAAAATGATGCGAACGCGAAACGCGCGTGTCCATTAGTCTCCGATGATTCTCATTGAAGTTCTCGCGAAAAAAATTGCCCGTACGGAACTACATTTGTGCGAAAAATCCGACGGAATTTAATTTCGTGCGCGGCTGGCGCGAATTAACATTCACCCTGTTTATTGCCTCCGTATCGATCCGATCGGATTTTATACTGTCGTGGCTCTATCGTTAATCGTCCTCTTCGTAATTACGCAGCGTATTTTGAAAAATAGTGTCAGGCTATTTTGGAAAATTGGAAGCCGCTCGACCCACCCTCCCATTTCTCGCTTTCGATACAGCCACTTTGATCGATTCAAATTCCCGCAACAAAGAGTTGCGCAACGTACATCGATATGCCACGCTGTGCCATATAAATTTGTTCACCATTTTCAAATCCAATCCTGAACCGTTTTATAGCGGAATGCGCTTTTCCTATTTCAGTTTGTCTATTTGTAAAACTCAAGAATCTTATTTATTAACAGCTCAAGGCCACGTCTTGCTCCGTCTCGCCATGTGAGCACGCTTTTTTGCCAAAGAGGTTACACTAATTATAGAGCGAATAATTTTTTTTGCAAAAAACGATACACTCTTTTTATAAAGACTCCAGAAGCCAGATATAGAGGGACGATGTTATAAATTGTTAAGAACGATAAATTTCCTATCGATTTTCCTACCGCAGAAGCCTGGACTCGGAATTTTCCGCGGAGCTCATTGCGTTAAAATTTTAGTCATTTATTCCGGGTAACTTGTACGTAAGCACACGCACTCACCCGCTCGCTAGTTTCCGTTCAACTCGTCCGATGAGGATGTCTCGTTAACCGAAGGGCACGACGGCCGAAGAAACAATATCGGCAGAAGTTGGCAACTTAAACTGCAGTTTAACGCGGCGAGTTTTACGAAGTTTTGAAGAGGTTGCGAAAGATATATATATAGTCGCAGATACACGCCAAGTCCGCTGGTTGGTTTGTGCTCTCACTACTACTGGCTACTACTAGCAGTAAGTGTTGGTTAATCAGCCAACCAGCCAACCAGCTGGCCAATGGACGATCGGCCAGCAGCTGCACGTGAGTATGCTTTCGACAGGTCTCCGACAATTTATTAACGATATCAGAACCATGGAACTGGAGCGTGGCACAGCGGTGGCACTTGTCACGAAGAGTTTGACGATGTCTATTTTGATTTTGGTGTGCACCTTGTTTCTTAATCGTCGTTGGGACAAAGCGAGATAATGTGCATTCGATCTTTCGGTTCTTCCCAACTACCAAGTGAAAGAAAAGAAAGAAAGAAAACAGAAAATATACAAAAGAAAAAGGTTTCGAGTTTTTTAATTCGATTATATCTCGAGATATGTTCATTAGCGCGTGGAAAGCTTGACGACGCTGAGACTTCTAACACGCAAAATCTTGCATTTCTCGTCTAGTCGTTTCCAGGACGAAGCACGTGACGGTGCGTTTGCAAAATCTTTCAGTTCTCCCCCTCTAGATACTACTCGTAAATAAAAAGAAAAGACAAGGAAAAGAAGACGCGGAAATATAAAGATTTAAATTTCCTAATTTTTTCAAAGTATCGACGCTATCATTGCTGCATTCTTTCTCTCTGGTATGCGCGACAGACGCTTCGTAACCATCTTTTGCTGGTTTCGCCGCTACGCCGTTCACCAAAACTAATAACAACACCGTGAAGAAATTGATATTCCCACGGCAAGTATCACTCGGTGATCTTGTCATTCGCGCTCGCGCGAGTCGCCTTTTCTTCAATTACACCAAAGTCAAATCAAAGTTGAATCGAGTCGCACCACTTTTGCTTTCAGTCACTGACGAAACAACGTCCTCGCGAACGCTCGCAATCGCGTTCAGAGTCCCGTAGCTTCCCACCGAGCGTGATCGCGTACCTGTCGAGGTCAGAAAGGATGCCGTATCCCGATAACAGCCAAGACGAAGAGGAATCCTTCTTTGAGAGACCACCGCCACCTCCACCACCCCTTCCGCCACCACCATCGTCTCAACAGTCGCAAACGCAAGTCGATCAAGCCTCCAGCGGACTGGTCAAGGATGAAGAGATTGGAGTCAAGGTCACGGACATCCTCGATAGTGTGCAGAATCGCGAAGGGATTAGTTCCGAAGAATTGGTCGGGTACGTAGTACGACGGTAAATCTTTCGAGAATATAATTGCAGAATATTGCAGGTTTTTTTTTTTAATAAATTCCTCTTAATTTTATCATGTTTTCCAGTAGTAGAATAAACTATCAATAAAGTTTATTTTGACAACATAGTTACATTACGTACGTTTTCTTACAATAGACAACAATAGAGTTTAATTCCTGAAATATTAACAACGCATAAACGAAATAAAAGGGTAATAAGTTAAAGCAAAAGATCGATATGTGTTTCTTGGTTACAAAATTCTACGGTAATTTTTACGGTAATATGAAGTTTTCTCCGCGCACACATAAAGATGCAATCGAGATGCGTAATATAATTGGAAGATTCGGAAGATGTTGCATGATCATGAATTATATTGTAAAAAATTTTCAAAAAGTGTGAAAGGGGGAAATTAGAACCATCGAGCTAGTTCTTAGTAATACATGTGATAGCATTTTCGGACAACGAAACATTAGACATTTCCTGTGGCGCAGGTTTGCACAGCAGAAGGACGACAGGACAACGATCGACGGACAAGTCAGACGACCCCGTCAGATCACGAGGGACCATTATACTTCCAGGTGAGAATACATATTATCGATTCTTTTAGCTAGATTCTTTAGCAGAAAATCAAATGTCGCGACATTTAAGATACGCCAAGCTGTCGAACGATTAGTATGAAATTAGTTATTGTACTTACTGTCGTGTAACGCAACCGCTACTGTGAAGTACCGAGTTAACAAACAATAATTAATGGTGGCGCCATAATTTATATTAATGGGTCCGAAAGTAACTAACTGGACACCTCTATATACGAAGAACAATAATGTTCTTCGTAAGTAGAAGTGAAAAGGTTTCCTGTAAAGATGAAAGGGTTAATTAAGTGAACACGAGTTAAATGAAAAACGAGTTTTCATCACTTAATTTCTACTGACGTTCGCGTAGTCGACGAATTATGATCGATTTGATATCGATTTGGCGAGATTAAGATCGCGTATTTTGGATGTTCGGGCGATTCACAAAATAGATTAGTCACCAGCCGACAAGCTCACAAACATGTACAACGAGAAAGAGATTACAGAAAGACAAGTTGGAGCAGGTCGAAGTACGATGCGCCCCCGGCGGAAGGTACACGAGTGCCGCACGACGAAGGCATGACTCTTAGAAGGGAGTTAGCCGGTGCCACGAGGATCTCCCCGAGCACGATCGATCGCGTCTTCGACAACAGTAATCGGCGACAATACGGAATGGGCATCGTCGGTCGCTTCTTCGGGTACTGTCACGTTTTTCTCTCTCACACACACACACATATACATTTTATTTGTTCCTATCGCAAAATTTGAAATGAAATTAACACTATATATACATATATATGTATGATCTATATGTAACGTGGTCGAGAGAAAAATCATACATAGCAAACGAATCACGTTAAGAAGTCAAAGCGGATTTGGAAAGAATTATCAAAGTATATAAAGTGTCTTCGTTCTCCCGCGCTGTCATAGGCGATCTTTCCGGAAGAGTGTTGCGCGCAAACCAGACGTAAAGAAACAATTGGATGACTTCGAGGATCACCGACCATATTTCACGTACTGGATTACCACTGTACAAGTGTTGATTCTTATAATATCATTAGCGTGTTATGGATTTGGTCCCGTTGGAATGGATCTCAAGCATCGATCAGGACTAGTAAGTATGCACAGGGCGGACGAATTGTTAATCTGTTCCCTGCGATCATTTATTCCGATCATTATTGAAAACCGTTGAAACTTGATCCCAATTATATATTATAATAGACAGGCTAAATCTTAAAAAAAAAAAGAAAGAAAGAAAAGAGTAAAATAAATCTACTTTCACGAGAAGATTTCTTCTTTCTCTGAAGTAGACCTTCTCGAAAAGAACTTGAACTAGATTTTCCCATAAGATAAGACTCTCAATTCAAACATTGCATATATGTATCTGAGAAATGTTCAAATGCCCCCAGGTTCTCGTGACGAGTCTGTCGTTGCAACAAGTCGACTACCAGGAACCAGCGAATTTCTGGCTGGGTCCGAGAGCCGCAGACCTGATCCATCTGGGCGCCAAGTTCGCGCCGTGTATGCGCCGAGATATTAAGATCCTGAAAGAGATTGATGTTTGGCGGGAAAGAGAACGAGACACCGCATGCTGCATCAGGAATGATGATTCAGGCTGTGTCCAGTCCAGTAAAGCCGACTGTTCGGTGAGCTTCCGATATAATCCTTTAATATAATCAAAGTACTGCTTACATGTGTAAGACGTTTTTATACATATATACAGGTTGCGTGAAAAGTTCGCGGAGCGGCATATATAAGTAAACGTAGAATTATAAATTGTAGTCGGTTATATAGAGTCACTCTTCACATGAACCTAGGTTAGGTTTTATTTCTATCTGTCAATTCTTTCTGTGTTTACAAGCGAATTGAAGTTGACGTGTCAGTATATTTGTTTGCAATAGAAAATTTGAAACAGCGTACAGTGATTGAGTTCTTTGTTAGAAAAGGTTTAAAGGCAATGGAAATTCATTCCGAGATGGTAAATGTGTTAGGGGAATCTGCTCCTTCAAAAACAATGGTTTGTAAATGGGCACTTGAGTTTCAACGTGGTCGTACAAGCATTGAAGATGATCCACGCAGTGGACGTCCAAAAAGCGCATCAACACCAAAAATCATTGAGCAAATACATGTTATTATTTCTGAAGATCCAAGTGTGACTACGCGTGAAATTGCTCATACCATAGGCATTTTAGATGAACGGGTACAGCATATTTTGCATAAAGAATTACAAATGAAAAAGGTGTTTGGAAAAGTGGTGCCGCATACGTTAACAATTCAACAAAAACTCGCTCGAAAGCAAATTTCTCAGCGTCATTTGGATCGTTTTAAGAAGAATAAAACCGATTTTGTGCGTCGTTTTATAACTATGGATGAGACTTGGATCTATCACCATGATCTTAAATTGAAACAGGAACGTTTACAGTGGACTGAAGCTGAATATTCAGCTCCAAAGCAAACAAAGCATGAAAGATCGGCAAAAAAGGTTTTGGCATCAGTTTTTTGGGATGCTAAAGGGATTTTGTTAATTGACTATCTGGAAAAAGGTAAAACAATTAACTCTGAATATTATTGTAACCTTTTGGATCAATTGGACGCAAAAATTCGTGAGAAAAGACCTGGTTTGCAGCACAAACAAATCATTTTTCACCAAGACAACCCACCTGCTCACACAAGTATTTTGTCAATGTCTAAATTCAATGAATTGAAATACAAATTGCTTGATCCACCGTATTCGCCAGATTTGGCACCCAGCGACTTCTATCTGTTCCGAAACCCAAAACAATTCCTCCGTGGAAAGCATTTTTTGTCGAATGAAGAAGCCATAGCAGCCGTAGAGGCATATTTCGCAGACCTTCCAGAAACACACTTCCACGATGGAATAAAATTATTGGAGAGCCATTGGGCCAAGTGTATTGAAGTTAATGGAGACTATATTGAAGAATAAAATCATTTTTAGAATTTGGTATTCTTTATTTCAGTTTCGCTCCGCGAACTTTTCACGCAACCTGTATACCTGTGTACACATTACACAACTTACAACTTTTAATTTCCAATTTACCCACCCCATATTAGTTCTCTCCTTACGGTTATACTTTATACTAACGTACTCTTCTTTCATGCGCACCGACCAGGTCCGGGGATTAAGGTCTACCGTTACGGTAAATTATTACGAAATTTTTTCGGGCTCTCTTTTATTTCGACTTGTGCATGATGCTTCGCATGTAAATTTGCAGGATCAGCTTCTCGGGAATCATCGCTCGTACTAATCTAATCGCGACTGAAATTTTGTAGAACACAATCTCGACCTGGAAGAAATGGGGACCCGGCGATAGTGGACCTGGCGGTCGCATTAGCGGGTCAGTGTGCGGCTTGGACCCAAAGTTTTGCGATGCCCCGGCGAGTATCGCGCCCTACGAATGGCCGGATGACATCACGAAATGGCCCATTTGTCGGAAAACTAATCCTTTCAACCAACGCTTTAGGTAAAAGCGTTTTCACCGATGTTCGATAAGTGTTCGATAAAGTTCTGCGAAATGAAAATGACGAAACGTCGCGAAAGCGTCGCGAAAAAAGCCGCTCGTGAGAGCAATTTCAATAACAGTGGTTCTCATTAATGCATATTAACAAGTAACAGCACGATCGTTTTAAGAGAGTTTACGGTAATCTGTAATGTTTAATGAACTTCAAAATTCCCATTCTTCCCCGACCCGAGCTCTTGGATTCTTAATTGGACAGAAGAAGACAATCGATTGAGTAAAACGCGAAAATTCTTTAACAGCAAAAACGGGAGTCAACGAGGCAACGGCAACTTTCCCGTCGGTCGCTACAAGGATAAGATGGCGGAGCATATGGTATGCGAAGTAATAGGTCATCCGTGTTGCATTGGGATTCATGGAATGTGTCGGATCACTACGAAGGAATATTGCGACTTTGTCCACGGTTATTTTCATGAGGAAGCATCCCTGTGCTCGCAGGTGGAGTGTTTGCACGACGTTTGCGGCATGATACCATTTCTGCATCCGGAGTGGCCGGACCAGTTTTATAGACTCTTCACCACTACCTTCCTTCACGCCGGGTAATGACTCATAAATTGAAAAACTGTTGTATTCAGCTCGATCAATAGAAAGGTATTTGAATAAAACGAGGTGAAACCAATTAGAGTTGAATCAGACTAACTAGGAAGTATTTAGAGTATTCGGCCTTTTATGATTAATCTTTCAACTACTACGCCAGACATATATATACGCCTTAATATATCCATCGATATCACAGACGCCTGTATATGTATATGCCTTGTATATTTTATTTTATCTGATATATTTGATACTTTATATACAGGGGCTTTATATACAGGGGCTGCCAAAAGTTCCGGAAAGGCTAATTATTTCAAAAAATAATGATTGTTTAAAACAATGTTTGAAACAAAAGTTGTAGGGCTTAAAAAAAGCTATCAAATATTGATAATTGTTTGACCTTGGAATGACCTTGAAAAACGTTATCAAAGTCGACATAAAAATCTTAAATGGAAACTCTAATTTTTTATTACACCATCTTTTTCCACCAATTAATTTGAACAACTTTTTTCTGAAACATTTTTTTACTTATCTAATATTTTTTGAGATATTTAAAGATAACTTGGTAACTTTCTTAATATTTAACTTACGATATCTCATTAACTGTTTGTCGGGATAAAAAAATGGTACTAGATTTTTCTGTTCTACTTGGTCTGAAGAATATATTATTACAATAGCGCCCTGACTTTTGTTAATTTGATGATTTTGAAATTTTGGAAGATCGATAAATTAACAAAAAATAGAGCATTATTGTACCAATATATTCTTGAGACCAAGTAGAATAGAAAAGTCTAGTAATTTTTTATCCCGACAAATAGCGAGATATCGTAAGTTAACTATTGAAAAAGTTACCAAGTTATCCTTAAATATCTCAAAAAATATTAGGCAAATAAAAAAATGTTTCAGACAAAAGTTGTTCAAATTAATTGGTGGAAAAAGACGGTGTAATAAAAAATTGGAGTTTCTATTTAAGATTTTATGTCGACCTTGATAACGTTTCTCAAGGTCATTCCAAGATCAAACAATTATCAATATCTGATAGCTTTTTTTAAGCCCTACAAACTTTTGTTTCAAACATTGTTTTAAACAATCATTATTTTTTGAAATAATTAGCCATTCCGGAACTTTTGGCAGACCCTGTATATAAAGCGCTTTCCCAAAAATTGGAATTAATTTAATTTAATTACCGCAAACTGCAGACTGCAATTCCTACAAACAAAACTGAATTTATTTCAAGAAAAATATAAATTTTCCAATATATATATGTCATAAACATCTTCATAAAAATTTAACAAGATAAAATCATCGATCCATCCATCTCGGTAAGATTATGTAGGAAACAAAAAACAAATCTGTTCGTCTCACTAAATCGGTATTGCAGAATCGTGCATTTGGCAATTACGTTGCTGATCCAATACTTTCTGATGAGGGATTTAGAGAAGCTGACGGGATCTTTGCGCATTGCCTTCATTTATTTTATCGGTGCTCTAGCTGGAAATTTGGCTAGTGCGATCTTTGTCCCTTATAGGGCAGAGGTGAGTGTTTAAATTTTATAATTTTATCAATAATGATTTATTCCAAGAGAATATACATCAAATTATCAAAATACAATTATCCAAAAGAATTTTTTTACTTTGCGAAAAGTAAATCTTTCATGAACATCGAACAATTAGTGCCTCGATGAATATATAGATGAATATATCTTTTTACCCTTCTCTTTGAAACAATAAGAGTTCCTCGGATTCAAGTTTTAAAGTATAGAGTCGTACGTAGCTTTAGGGTACCCTAAAGCTCGTAGCTTTAGGGTAATGCATATGCTAACAATGATCATACAGACAATAGCGTTTGCCAAGAATGTTTTGTCATTATGTTACTTGTTGTGTTCACACAGGTTGGTCCGGCTGGCGCACATTTCGCGCTCTTGGCTACACTGGTAGTCGAGGTACTGCATTGTTGGCCCATGCTGAAGCATCCACGACGTGCATTATCCAAGTTGATCCTGATTCTGATGGGGTTGCTCGTATTAGGCATTCTACCGTGGGTGGACAACTATGCGCACCTGTTTGGCTTTATCTTCGGTTTTCTGGCGGCCTACGCGTTGATGCCATTCATCTCGTTCGGCCATTACGACCGCAGACGAAAAATTCTGCTGATTTGGATCTGTTTAATCCTGATTATGGGCCTGTTCGCGTTACTCCTCGCCCTATTTTACAACGTACCGGTGTACGAATGCGAGGTGTGCAAGTTATTCAACTGCGTGCCATTCACTCGCGACTTCTGCGCCTCCCAGAACATCAATTTCAAGCGGGAGGAGCCAGTATGACACATGGGGCCGCGGTTCACAGTCGAGCACAAAGTTGTTCCGTTCGGCCCCCAGTCTCACGCTCCTCATCATCGCGCATACCACCACGATCCGTCATTCGCGTTCGCTGTGCTCGTTCTGGCGATGCTTCTCGTCAATATTCCCGAAGCCGCGAAATCTCTTAAAATTGATTAAACGATCTCTTTGTTCGATGGCTAACCAAAACTCGAGATCTAATTCACTACAATCTGACATCGTAAGCAACAAAACTGGAAATTATTAGATGTCCGAAAAAAAGTGTTTTGAATCTTTGAGGAAGCTAAGAAAGAAAGAGATGTAGAAAGAGCAGAAGATATCTAAGGAAGTTGAGGGAAAATTTAGAAGAAGGGCTTTTTAAGTTTATAAAATTGGGAGACAAGTTAAGAAATTGAGAAAAATACTTTTCTTCGTCTGTTTAATTACTGGAAGAGTATTAGAATCCAAAAATCATCCAGAAGAAGGAAAAATTTATAAGAAAGATATTATGGATTTTTCTCGAAATAAACGATTCGAGATGAGAATCGGAGAATCAGATAATCGCTAGCCTCTTCCATGAAATTGAAAAAGAAAGGTAGAGAGAGAGAGAGAGAGAGAGAGAGAGAGAGAGAGAGAGAGATGAAAAATGTTTCTTTGTTTCTAATATTTATATAATAATCTGAGACGTTAAACTTCCGAGGTCATCCGAGATAACGTTAGCCAGGTTGCAACGTCACGGAATATGAGCTTTCGGAACGGTCCTTCCACTCGATGACCGAGCCACCGGGCGATGAAGTCGGATTTGGATTACCGAAGCTTCTGAAAGATTTCGCCATCCTGAAGTTCAATCTCTTCGAAGTCGTGGAGTTTATCGAGCCCGGAGGATTGAATTCAACATTCTTATATCGTTCGTTCTATCTAAACAGGTGATACCGAAAGATGCGATTGAGGGGCATGGGGGTTTGATAGTGCCTGGATCGAGCGGGTGAAGGTCGTGGATCCCGACCGACATTTTCGTTACTGCCAACGAACGTCAGAGAGGAACTCGTGTTCGTCGACGCACGACGATGCCTTAACATTATTAAGTCCCAGCGTAGTGGATGGTTCCCGACGTGAGATGGTCGGAACTTTGCGGACCCTAAGGATTTGGGTCCAGAACTATTAAATCGCCGATGGAGTGTAAATATATAGGTCTTCAGTGCCGCGGGACGCGATGACGATTGGGTGCTCGCTTCATGGATCACATCTCGAGATCCGTAAATCCTCGATGGAACTTGGCGTGACCGTAACATTCATCTCTTCGAGGAAGTTAATAAAAAGGTGGAGAAGGAGAAGGAGACAAGGATAAACATGAGAATAGGAATGAAGATGAGAAAAAAGAAGACAAGGAGAAGGAGGAGAAGGGGCAAATGTAAATAGCATCAAGTCTTGTTACATACCGTTGTAAGAGCGACCTTAGTAAGCTAACTTTAGAGAGAACCTTGAAAGTGCGCACGTCTTTCGTCTCTGCACGATATAGTACCCCGCACCTCCGACATCCGGAACTATTGTCTGTGATGGCTTGATCTTGGAGATATTTTTCGTAGCACCGCCAACGGCCGCGACGATGTTGGCCGCGAGCCTTCCTGTAGGGACGACCCGAGAATGATCACTGTCTGGACACCAATCGATAACTCGCTCGATAGAATTACTGAAGAATGACTGTGTGAGGAGGAAGGAGATGAAGAGTGTAAAGTTCTCGAAATATGTAGCGTATACGAAGAAACACGAGCTCTGTCGTTTCTCAAGAGCACATATACATTTTTCGTGCTTAAACGTAATTATCGAGAAGAGGACAACAAAACAATGCAAAATGTACATCGTATAGTCGATATTTTGAGGCGTGACATAAAGCTCACTAATTTTTCATCACGACTTCTCGATTTGTGTGCCATCACTAATAGGATTATAATTTGACATTGATGAAAGCTAATTCGTAAATTTTTAATAAGACTCTGATTTATTAATTCAGTTACAATGTGTAACACACATAATGTTGCAGTTTGTAATGTATCTGACAATGCCAATTTCCATTACACCCAATGTCAGTGCTAATGCTATTTAATAACTTCACATCTCAATATTGCATATTGATTAAAACAGTTACAAGAGTGTAATGCAAA